CCAAACTGGTCTTGCCACCTCATTTCCATATCCAATGGCTATGTCTTTATCCACAAACGATGACCATAGTTAAAATTGGACTTGCTACTTCATTTCCATACACAAAGGATTTTGATTTTGAATTGACATTCTCACACACCAAGAGCATATATATATATATATATATGTCTGTCCCTGGCTTCCATTCCACCCAAAACATCCGAGGAAGTAGACTGAAGACTACGAAAGCTCATGATGCCAACTTCTTTCTTTCAGTTAGTCTCAAAGGTGCTACAAGATCTCTCTACAGAAGGTTACTGAGTCACAAATACACATCTCTGATTGTTCCACAGTGACTTTGCATAATTAATAATAATTTAATTGTTTCCCTGATGCCACTGAAAGGCATTGTGGGGAAGGTGGCATTGAGCATAGGCAACATCACCTGTGGCAAGTTTACACTTGTGGTTTTAGAAAGTCTGTCATAATCTGCTATTACAGGGCACAGATGCATGTATGTGAAATTGGTTAGGAAGATCTTATTAGGTTTTAAATATTTTCAGAGATGGGACTGACTAGTTAGTACACTCCTGGCCTTAACAATGTAGGAAGTGTCCTTAAAATAAGCAACTGGTTCATTTGGTTTAAGACCAGCAGAAGATACAAGATGCATGACTCCAATGATTATGACAGCAAGTGTCCACTCCTGCTCTAAGGTACTATATATACTCAACTATAAGTCGACATCATGTATAAGTCGAGGGTGGGTTTTGGGGCCAAATTTGAGGATTTTGCCATAACCCATGGATAAGTCAAGGGTAAAACTTGGAGGTTTCTTCAGTGTGTGTATGTGTGCGTACAGCAAGAGAGACTCTAACTGAGGCTGTTTGTTTCTACTTTGGTTTCTGCCTTCACACAGACTGAAAGGGTCAGCGTGGGCAACAGAGAGTCTCTGTTTGTTTGTTTAAAAGCAATTAATCATTCAGGACTCTTTCTGCTTGGCTCAAGAGAAAAAGAAACTATCTTCCCAATGCAGGGGGAAATTGCTGCTATCTGAAAGAGCTGCTATCACATTTCTATACTGACCCGTAAATAAGTCGACCTGGGATTTTGGGGTCAATTTTTGGTCATAAATTTTTAGACTTAGAGTTATTCCTTCAAACTGTAATTTTTCAATCATTCCAAAGCAACAAAATAAACTGGGAAAATCCCACAGGTTTCTGATAACATAAGTCTCAGACTATTGTTTTTCTTCCTTTAGTGATATAGACAATATCCAATACCCAAGAGCAGGGGTAGGCAACCTTTCCCCTTTAAGGGCCGAGGGACTTCAGCTCCCAGCATCCCAGGAGCTATTGGCCAACATGGGACTATTGGCCAACATGGCTGAGGCTTCTGGGAGCTGAAGTCCCTCGGCCCTTAAAGGGGAAAGGTTGCCTACCCCTGCCCAAGAGTCTACATACAACTAAGGGATCTTACTTAAATCCATTTTTGTGAAATGTACCCAGTATTGTCCAAATTCCTACCCCATTTCCCAAAAGAGGACCTCCTGTTTTCCTCTTCCTTGCCTTTTTAAACCTTAGAAATCTTACCAGTGGCATCATACTCCATCCAACGTGATCTGGGGGAGAGATGCAGACCCATCTCCGTCAGGCCTAGCCTAAGAAGAAGAACCCTCATTTTTTAAGGGGCAGGTGGGTTTCGGGATTTTTAGGTTCTGTTTACAGTGTATTAACATATCTGTATGGAAATTTTAATGTTGTAAGTCGCCCCGATTGCTCTGCAGAGGGGTGGGATATAAATAAAATAAAATAAATAAAAAATACTGAATCCTCTCCCACTTTCCTCAGGAAAACTCAGGAATCTTAGCAGCAGTGCCTTAGCCTTTAACTGTTTATCCATTTTTTTCCTGCCTCAGAAATCCTAGCATCTGTATCCAAAAGTGTCCTCTCTTGTGTTCTAACACATTAAAAATATTTCAGATGAATTATGGCAGACCCCTTTTTGCTTTTAGAAACTGCCCATTTGGAATTTTTTCCCCAAACAGGCCTTTGAAATATGGGTAACAACCAAAAACATTCTCGTCATATTTCAAATAATCTGCCATAAGGTCCTGAAAAACTATGGCAGACACAGCTTTTTTGTTTCTAGGAAGTAATCCTCTTATAAATTCAACATGAAATTGTTTGCTGGGAACTGGGTAACAACTAAAAATTCTTTGTCCAGTTTTAAGGTATCTACCAGGAGCCAGCGTGGTGTAGTGGTTTGAGCATCTGACTAGGACTCTGGAGACCAAGGTTCAAATCCCCGCTCAGACATGTAAACCAACTGGGTGACCTTGAGCAAGTCATTCACTCTCAGCTTCAGAAAACCCCATGAGAAGGTTGCTTTAAGGTCGCCATAAGTCAAAAACAGCTTGAAGGCACACCAGGGTTTCCTGATGTAACATTATGTAAAATTATGGCAGGATTTCTTTTTTTATTCCTATTCATAATTTTGATTTTTCAACTTGAAACTGGGGGCTACAACTTGGATGCCAATCACAAACATTATGTTAAACTTTGAGACATCTACCACCATTTCCTAATGATTTGTAGCAGCCCAATTTCCTTTGATAAAGTCTCCTCACTTTGGAATTTTGACTAGACAATTGTCTCTGCAATTTGGAAAACAAATTTTAACATATCTATCAGTTTTCTGATGAGTTATGACTGCCCTCCTCTTTTTGGCTTCTACAGAGCCCCACTCCATTTGGATGTTCTGCTTAGCATTGCAATGTCTAAAACAACAATGACGACAACAACAACAACCTCAATCAAATGAGTTCTGGCTGCTACTGACACACAGACATGTTTTAAATTAATTCAGCTTCCCCTTTTCGTGGTAGGAGGAAGCAAATGCCCTCAAATAAAGCAAGTATATTAAATCTATTATGTGGGCAGAGGCTGAAATACAGCAGGAGTGAAAAATATGTTTACAATTTCATGTCCCAAAGAGCCACTGTTTTGATCTGTTATAATCCAAGTTTAACTACCAGACTGTAATCCATCGCTGGGACAGCACTTCGAAGTAGACAGTCACTGGTGCTAGCTTTTAAAACAGTAATTCATTTCTGCCAGACCACACATCTGAGTTACAAGGCATTTGTGAGGCACTATTTGAAGGCATGGGCTATCTCCTCTTTACAAGAGGGTATATTTATGAGGCATGTTGAATTCCTTGATCGCAACTGTATACCTACTGGTAATGCCCCCTATTAATATTACACTAGCCTTATATATATCTCTGTGTTGGAAGTATTGAATTTTTCTTCCACACACATTTATTTCTTGATTGTACAACTCCCCTTCTCCCTGATGGTTATTTACAATGTCAGCTTATTGCTCACATGCTTTTCTTCCTCTTTGAAAAAAAAAAAAGGACTACTATTTACAGGAAACACGTTTCTCATTCGTTCCAGGATGTGAAGCTATGAAAGGTAGAAGGACAATATAACTGAACTGAGTTATAGATGCTACCTTCAAACCAAGAGCACTGTCAGGGTCAGGTTTGTACCTTAACTCTGGCCTAAAAGCTGTGTTCTCCTGGTCAGTCAATACTGCTCACATACAAGTTAGAAGGTCAAGTTTCTACTACTCACACCAGGCACAACCTATCCCAAGGCTCCTTGTTCTACGCCAGCTGGAAGAAGTCATGCTGTATATTCGTTCTACATTTGGCTTCAAGGTCTGCACACAGAGTCCCCAGTAGCTCTCTGGACTATGGTCCTCAGACTGCAAGCAACATTCACTGCCTTTACCTGTATAATAATGCCAGCAACCTCAGCAAAAACAAAAATACAAAAGCAAGTAACTTTATTATTGAAGCATGGATAAAAGAAGGAGAAAAAGCAGAAAAAGGAACTGCTAGGAGCCAAGAAAGTAATGGATATTCAATTTACCAGTGCAACCAGATTTTTCTCTTGCCAACACGAACCACAAGTTTAGACTCTGAGGTTCCTCATTCAAGCAAGAGACCCTGACTGCAAGAAATGGAAAGAGGTTCTCACATTAAACATACACAAAGGATTGACATAACAGTGTACTGTGGATATATTTCTATTCTCATTTAAGATACCAGCTCAGAAACCAAACTGGGAACTTTACAAAGAGGTATCTTATTTCCCTCATTTCTACTATCAATTATTCTATTACATTTGTTTTAGTAAGTAAACATGTGTGTGTGTGTTTGTGCCTTCAGGTTGCCTGTTGTCCTATGGCAACCCCATGAGTTTCACAGGGCTTTCTTAGGCTTCATCTGCACTGCAGAATTAATGCTGTTTGACACTTCTTTAGCTGCCATGGCTCAATGCTATAGAATTCTGGCATTTGTAGTTTTGTGAGATGTTCAGCTTTCTAAATGTAGATTTAGCCCAGTCAGAGAGCTCTGGTGCCATAACAAACTACAAATCACAGGATTCCTTAGGATTCATTGGGATAGAGTCATGACAGTTAAAAAGGTGTCAAAGTGTTTTAATTGTGCAGTGTGGTAGCAAACTTAGGCAAGGAAATCTCAGGGGTGGTTTTACCAGTTCCTTCCTCTGAAATATAGCCTACAGCACCTGGTATTCCCATCCAAGTACTAACTAGAGCTGCGCCCTGCTAAGCTTCTAAGATCAGATGGAATCCGGTGCTTTTACAGTATTTAGGCCCCAAGTAAACAGTCAGCCTTCCATATCTATGGATTCTTTATCCATGGATTTAACCATCCATGGTTTGAAAATGTTTTGAAAAATATAAATTCCAAAAAGCAAAGCTTGATTTTACCATTTTATATAAGAAAAACCAATTTACTATGCCATGGTATTTAATGAGACCTGAGCATCCACAGATTTTGGTATCCACAGGGCATCCTGGACCCAAACCCCAGAGGATACCAAGAGCCCACTGTTGAAACAGCTATTGAAATGCCACCCTCAGCAGGCTAACTTCCTATTGATTTACCTGAAGAAATAAACCATATAAACCTTATCACACACTAAGGAACAATGAATATCTTTGGAAGATGAAAATTACCTGATTGGGAATCCCTGGACCTTAACATCCACTGAGTCATCTTCAGTCACAGGGGAATCATGCATTTTTAATGAAAAGGAAAAAGGAGAAGAGACAAACTACCTTTCAGTAGTATCTAATCATTCAGCTTTTGTAACACTGTCCTATAGAAAGAGGGCAGGCCTCTATACATGCACAGAGGGTTATTTCCTCCTCCTCTTTTCTACACATGAAAACCCAATTAAACATAGGACTCTCATCACCTGTATTCTCAGATGATACAGTCTTAGAGAGTAGTATTTCTCTCCCTAATGTTGTTCTGTCCTATTTTTCTATTGTTTAACCAGATCAGTAAAGACATGTGATTGCTAGGAAACAAACCCCAAAACAAAACAAAACAGTTTCATCATTATATATACCTGTGTCCTATTTATTGATCTTTGTTCTTGCTGCACTTCTTTGAAACAGTTTTCCTAAATCTAAAACTAGATTTAATCTACCGTACCCACATGTAAACACTGTACTCGCATACCAGCCCCATAACTTTGTATTGCAGCTCTGCTCTGTATCCAGCACGACAAACATACATGATATATGTATAACCATAGGTGATAGTTATATACACCCCTAGGGGTGTGTGATAAATCTGGTTTACACTGATATTATTTATCCCAAACAGTTATAGAATTATCTAGTTAAGTAATTAAGACAGAGTTGTCGGGCAGGAAGCATTTTAGTTTTAATTTCATTCAATGATGGGGGGAAATCAGAACCATCTGCCACATTACACAGATTACATGAAGATTACAGCGCTGCTCAAAAATATGTACTTTCTGCTCCTATTTCTAAAGCAGCATGTCATTTGGCATTACATAAATGGCTGACAACAGCAATAATCTCCAGAGAATCATTCAATGAGCTGAGTGGCACCTTAGCATCTTGCTGCTGCCAAATTATGTAAATTTGCACATTATTTTAACATTTAAAGTACTGTACATCCAATCAAAGCAAGTACAAAATTCTGCATCTTTGTCCATATACTACACAGAATTAGCATGAACCAACCTGCAGAGGCTGAGAAAGAAGAATGGTGGCATTTATATTTCCTTTATGCTTTGGAATTATTATTTAAGAGCACACTGACAAGCAATTTTCCCCTCCCTTGGAATTAATAAATCCATGAATGTCACAAAATCCAGAGGCATCTGCTACAAGATTGAGGAAATCATCATCATCATCATCATCATCATCATCATTATCATCATCATCTATACTGACTTTCTCCCAGTAATGGGACTCAGTATGGCTAACAACATATTTAAAACTATACAAGTTTAAAGACTACAAAAACATTAATACAAATATAAGATTTAAAAAGAAATTAAACTACTTATAAAGTTAAAACATTAGACATTAAAATATTAAAATTAAAAGACTATATATAACCCTTAAAAACAGTACTGCACTACATTAAAGCTCAACCTTAAGGCAGTTTGTAAAAGCCTGATGGCATAAAACAGGGGTAGGCAACCTTTCCCCTTTAAGGGCCGAGGGACTTCAGCTCCTAGAATCCCAGGAGCTATTGGCCAACATGGGACTATTGGCCAACATGGCTGAGGCTTCTGGGAGCTGAAGTCCCTCGGCCCTTAAAGGGGAAAGGTTGCCTACCCCTGGCATAAATTTTGACTTGCTGAAGGGAGGATCCTGGCCTCCCTAGGGAGGGAGTCCCAAAGTCTGGGAGCAGCCACTATGAAGGCCTTCTTCCCTATTTCCACCAAAGAAGAGTGAGAAGGAGGTGGGACAGAGGGAAGGGCCTCTCCAGATGATCTTAAAGGTCTGATGGGCTCATAAAGAAAAATAAAATTCTTCAAATAACCTGCAACCAAGTTGGAAAATACAGCATCATCCTTTTTTTGTTTCTGGGTTGTTGTTTTTTTGTTTTGTTTTTTGGCATAATAGGATGGAAGAAACTTCAAAACCATGCCTCTTGGACATAAATGGTAAAGAGAGGAGTTTGGTTTGGCAACCTTTATCTGCAGACATGCACCTACATCAACATAGTTGACTTGAAACACACACACAAAACTGAAGATAAATGCTATGGTTGATGAGGGTTGCGTCTGCTTTAAAGTCTTTGAAACTTTAGACTGCATCTGAAAAAGCAAATTTAGTTTAACTATACAAAGGAACACTGTGTTTGTTTTGCTAGCTGTGCTACAGCCTGTACATCTTTATTTGGTAGCAAATACCAATAAATTAAATATCAATTACTCTCAGGCAAGTTA